AATGATCTAACCAGTTTGGGGTTACAGGGGGATTGTGGAGTGTTTGTTTTGTTCTCTTTCTGTTTTTTAGAAATGGAGATAAGAGGGGAGAGGAAGAGGAAGAACGTTTTCAAAGCATCCCACACACCATGTGTTATTTATCACAAATGATAGCAGGAGCTGGTGAGGTGCTGCCTAGCCTGACCCCTGAGTTTGATCTCTGGGATGAAAGGAGAGAACCTGTTGTAGAATATTATTTTAAGGTGTGTTACTTTTGTTTATGCTCTGGAACATTTGTTTAATGATGCGAGATGTGTTACTTTTGTTTGATTAAATAAAATTCACCTGCAGTCAGGAGGCTGAGTCAGCAACTAGCTGGCAGAAGTGGTAGGGAGAAGCCAGGTGGAGAAAGGCTTTTAAGTGGGGGTGAGGAGAAGGACGAGGGCTTTTTGTGAGACTCGAGCAAAGAGAAGAGGTGAGCAACTTGCTATTCTGCCTCTCTGAGGAGCAGAATTCTACGGCTACCTTTGAATCTTGAGTTCTTTAGAAGGACAGATTTAGATTAAGTCCCTTGGTAGCTTTGAAAGAGTCGGTTCCTGAGGGGACAGAATCCCCTCAAACTGTGACCTTTGCAGCCTAACTGCTGCTGGTAGTGGCAGAGTTGCAGTTGCTGATTAGGACAGCCATGGCTTAAAAGGCAGCAACAGTTTAAAAGAAGGACAATTGGCACCCCATGTGGGGCGCCAAAATGTTATTGGTAGTTTTGCTCTTTTGGAGGCCCACCACCCAGCTTCCAAATAAATCACACATGGAGGCTTATTCTTAATTATAAATGCCTGGCCTTAGCTTGGCTTGTTTCTTGCCAGCTTTTCTTAACTTTAAATTATTCCATCTACCTTTTACCTCTAGGCTTTACCTTTTTCTATTTCTGTATATCTTTCTTTCTTACTCTGTTGCTGGCTGTGTAGCTGGGTGGCTGGCCTCCTACATCCTCCTCCTTTCCTCCTCCCAGATTTTCTCCTTCTATTTCTTCTCTCTGCCTGCCAGCCCCACCTATCCTTTCTCCTGACTTGCTATTGGCTGTTCAGCTCTCTATTAGATCACCAGGTGTTTTAGACAGGCAAAGTAACACAGCTTCACAGAGTTAAACAAATGCAACATACACAAAAGTAACACACCTTAAAATAATGTTCCCCAACAAGAACCAACTCCCACAAGTTGTCCTCTCATCTCTATACACACACACAAACACACACACACAAACACACACACACACACACACACACACACAAATAAATAAATAAATAAATAAATAAACTTTAAAATTTTTTAATTATTTCTCAAGCCCCTTTACCAGTGGGCTTGCCTACCACGAAGGCCATGAGTTCAATCCCCAATACATTAGAAAAACAGTTACATCTGAATTAGAAAATCAGGTGAACTATTTCTCATACATTAAAAAGAACTAATACCTGGGCAATATATTAATACCTGCTTTTAAAAGTACCTGTAAATTTAATTACAACTTTCTGTTAGTATGCCAAATATAGCATCATTTATAGTATGTAAATGTTTATATTAGTCCAGTATAAAGAGCACTGTGAATTGGTAAAACCAATACAAAATATTTTTTTTAATTTGTCAAAATATATTGCTATCAAAATATAAATGTCCTTGTTTCAATTTCTGTGGGTTTTTTTCATTTTGTTTTCTTTTTCTTTCTTTCTTTTTTTTGAGAGCTTGAGAGTTGAATGTGGTTTCATTAACTTTTTTCTAAAAACAGGGGCTGAGGACATTGCTCAGTAGTCCAGCACTTACTGTTCATGCAGAGGACCTGCATGTAGTTCCCAGCAACAACACGGCAGCTGGCTCACAACCTGACAACTCTAGTTCTAGGGGATCCGACAGCTCCGACCTCTGCAAGTATTTGGTGCATATACACACATACACACACTCAGGCACACACACAAACACATAAAATTAAATAAATACTTTTAATTAAAAAAAACAGAACTAGCCGGGCGGTGGTGGCGCACGCCTTTAATCCCAGCACTCGGGAGGCAGAGCCAGGCGGATCTCTGTGAGTTCGAGGCCAGCCTGGGCTACCAAGTGAGTCCCAGGAAAGGCGCAAAGCTACACAGAGAAACCCTGTCTCGAAAAACCAAAAAAAAAAAATAAATAAAAATAAAAAAAAAATAAAAAAAACAGAACTAATGTAAGTGATTGTAAAGTTAAATTGACCAAATTCATTTTTTAAAAATCAAAGGGAATTGTTTAAGTAGCAAACAGCCATGCTGTCCTTTTAAAATTACGGCTTAAATCTCCAATTTGCCACCAACTGTCTTTGCTTTTCAGAATCAGTTACTAGACTGAATGTCTCTTCCATTTGCTCTCTCTCTCTCTCTCTCTCTCTCTCTTTTTTTTTTTTTTTTTTTTTTTGGTTTTTCAAGACAGGGTTTCTCTGTGTAGCTTTGCGCCTTTCCTGGAACTCACTCTGTAGCCCAGGTGGGCCTCGAACTCAGAGAGATCCGCCTGCCTCTGCCTCCCGAGTGCTGGGATTAAAGGCGTGCGCCACCACCACCCAGCATTTGCTCTACTTCTTAACCAAACACTGCACATCTCCTTGGATAAGAACTAAAGTGAAGTCGTAGGTGTTAATATGCTAGAACATTTTATCGTTTGAAGAACACATTTCAAAAGGAACTGAGAGCCAGGCTGCGTGGTGAGCACCTGGGACCCCAACAGCTGGAAGACTGACGCAGGAGGGTCATGACTTCCAAATGGTCAGTTACATAGGAACGTCTTGGCCAGACCCTGAAGAGAGGGGTACCAATAAGGGGTGATTCTGAGGGAAAACAACTCCTCCTAAAATTAAAATTAAAAAATTAAATCAGTCACAGAAAAGTGGTTCAAGCACAACCAACCAATAACAAATTTCAAAATAATATACTTTTTTTAAACTTTGAGTAGGAGTAGGAAGTAAACAACCAGTTCTAAAAGAAAAAAGATACAGAAGTAAAGAAAGCCTCTAGCAGGGAGTACAAACCAGTGGTTGTTGGGTTTGGTTTGGCTCGGTTTTAAAGAACTAGACCTATGTGGAACTCTAGTCTCAAGCAATCCTCCTGCCTCAGCCTCCCATGTAGCTGCAACCACAGGTACACATCATCATGCCTGACTCAATCTAGTATTACAAATCTATAAGGTAATTTGTAAAAACTTTAAACAACAAAAGAAGGACAGAAATTGTACCAGCACTGGGAATTCAGGGGCATCCTAAAGCATTCAAGACATCTTCCTGTGCTGCAGAGTGAAGGAAGACACTAGCTCTATGCTCTAATAAACAGCTTGGCAGTGAATGGATACCCCAAAAGCTCTGTAGCTAGAGATACTGGACATTTTCTTTTTCTCCTCCTGCTTTTAAATGCAAATTACTAAGCCCCGAAGCACATTCTGCTCTATTTTTTTTATATGAAAATTACTGCATTGTGGTCTTGTTCCAGAGAGGACACCATTCATCCAAGAAAAGGGAGTGAGGACAAGCACACACACTGTATGTTCAAATGACCTCATCCAGTGAACTGTCACCAGGTACACATGGCTTTTGTCAGGGGAGCGACCCCATTAGTGATCGAAATTCCATGTGAAGAATGAGAATTTAGTTTTCGGGTCATGCAAGGTTGCACACACATTGCAATGCCGGGGCATGCCAAGCACCAATGACGAAAGTCAGCATCCCTTGCTTTTAATAACACTAGCTTCTTACTGGGAACTTTCAAAGTCTCAGTAATAACAGTACCGGTTGCTATTCACCTATTTAGGACAAAACAAGACAAACAATACTACAATGCAAGAAATGATGTGCTGTGAGCACTCAAACACCAGACCCGGGGCCTCTTCCCCGTTAATACCCTAGAATCCCGAGAGTTGATTTGGAAATGTACTTCACGTTACTGTATCCAGGGATTGAGATTAAAAGAACATTTTTTAAACTGAAGAAAAGTCAAGACGTAAATCATCATTAAGAACGGTATTCACATCACTGTCCCAGGTTCAAGCTTTCTACAAAACCTCACTTGCTTTAGGAAATTGTACTGCTGTCAGATAAATACAAACAGTGAAGAAAAGTAGGACAGATACAGCCGCATTGAAAGTTAACTTACCTCTAGTCTTTCCAAGTTATATGTTAATAACTAAGTTTGCTTTAAACAAAACAAAACCCCTCTTTTCCAGCTAGAGAAGTCACACCCAAATAAAGTGGGTTTTTTTTTTTTTTTTTTTTTTTTTTTTTTTTTTTTTTTTTTTTTTGGTTTTTCGAGACAGGGTTTCTCTGTGTAGCTTTGCGCCTTTCCTGGGACTCACTTGGTAGCCCAGGCTGGCCTCGAACTCACAGAGATCCGCCTGGCTCTGCCTCCCGAGTGCTGGGATTAAAGGCGTGCGCCACCACCGCCCGGCAAGTGGGGGTTTTTTAAACAGTACTTTCTTTACCCTTGCTCCACCCTCAAAGACCCCAGTCTCCCCTGCAGGATGCCAGATAGCCAAGAACAAAATCCACCGAGGATATACTTGCAATCTTTGAAATGTCAACGTGGATGTCTAAGGAAGAGGAAAAGGATTACACTCGGGTTTTTAAGGCTGCTTAAGTATTTTCCCTATGTCTGTATCAGATGTAGCCATCTCGGGAGCCAGCCTATACTTTCACCTACCTATTCGGAACCCAGACAATGAATGAAGCAGATCCCTCCAGAGAGGCCCTAAGGGGGTCAAGTTTCATGCACTGAAATTACAAAGCCTATTTTTTGATGATGTGGGAAAAGTAACGACAGTCTGGGGCTTTTAAACCTAGAAGTGCTTACTAGTTCAATCCGTCCCCAAGTCCATGCCACCCTTTCAACTTTGCAATTAAGAGAAGGAGAAATTCCGGTCAACTCTCCTTGGGGGGTTGGTCTGGAGGTAGAGGACTCGAGGGAGGAGGATGGAGACCGAAAGAGAAAAGCCAATTAAAAAAGAGCAAAATTTCCCACCTTTCTTAAATTCTTCCAGCATAGCGTCCAACTTGGTGTCATTGAAAACAAAGTGCAAGGGGTGGTTGTAAAATTTGGTGATGGTTTTCAAGGGAGTACAGTCATCTGGATCCACGAAGGCCAAGTCTTTGACAAAGAGCAGGTCCACGATGTTGGACCGCTCTCCTTCGAACACTGGGATTCGAGTGTAGCCACTCTCCATGATTTCGGACATGGTGTTGAAGTCCAGGATAGCCTCGCCGGTGATCATGAAGCAGTCCCGGAGGGGAGTCATCACGTCCTCTACAGTCTTGGTGCGGAGTTCCAGCGCCCCTTGGATGATGTTCAGTTCCTCCTTAACGAGGTCGTTATAGGGGTCAGTGACCCGGAGCATCTCCAGCAGTTTTTCCCGGTTATAGACAGTGCCTATCTCCTGGCCCAGGACGCAGTCCAGCAGTTTGCTAACCGGGTAAGAAGCAGGGAAGGTCATCATCATGAAAAACTTGGTGAGGAAGATGGTGTTGGCCCCTACTGCCAGGCCGTGTCGGGAGCAGATGGCTTGGGGCACTATTTCCCCGAAGATGACGATGCCAATGGTGGAGACCACCACCGCCACAAGGCCTGAGCCCGCAATGTCGTCGAGCAGGATGGTGAGCGTGGTGTTGACCAGCACGTTGCCCAGCAGCAGCGAGCACAGCAGGTAGTTGCCCTGCCTGCGCACCGGCTCGATGCGCTTGGCATAATTCTTCTCCTTCTCGGTGCCGCAGTTTTGCACGATGCGCAGCTCCATCGGGTCCAGAGCCATGAGCCCCAGGTTGAGGCCGCTGAACATGCCTGACAGGCACAGCAGCAGCGAGATGAAGATCACTTGCAGCCAGAAGGGCAGCAGGAACTTCTTCTCCTCGCCCACGATCATCTTGGTGTCCTCACCGTCGTGGTAAATCCAGGTGGTCTCGGCCCATGGGGGAGGCGGGAGTCCCGCCACCCCCGCGCCACCCTTGCCCCCGACGGCGCCACTCGCGGACCCGGAGCCGCCGGCGCCCAGTGCGGGCGTGGAGAGAGACGTGCACAGGTAATAAGCCTTGCTCTTCTCCATCTTGCGCAGCGGTTTGATCTCGATCTCGATGATGCCCGATGTGCGGCGATTGAGAATGATGTGGGGCAAGATGATGATGTCTGAGGTGCGGATGCCGCAGCGCTGGGGGCCGCTGTCCGGCTCCGGAGGCGCGGGGCCCCCCAGCCCGCGCTCGCCGGGTGTGTGCCGGCGCCGCTCGTGCTCAGTGAAGGCGATGCGGGACCATGTCTCGTTGTTGATGTTCTGCCCGTACACCCGCAGCTTGACCCGGGTCCGCTCGCTCACCCGCAGCGCACCCCCTTCCATGAACGACACGTCGTTCGTGTCCTCCAGCCGCAGCCCGATGATCACGGTCTCCTCGTTCTCGCCGGCCGCTGTGCAGCCGCCCGCGCCGCAGCAGCAGCTCAGCAGTAGCAGCGGCAGCAGCCGGCCCGCAGCTGCCTGCAGGACCCCCCGACCGCGGGCACTGAGACTGCGGCGAGCCGCCATCTTCCAAGTGGGCAGTGCGGCGGCTGCCTGCCCGCCCGCCATCTTTACTTCGGGTTCACAAGCGCCACAGCCAATCATAGGGTGGCTGCTCCAGCTGAGGCTTCATCCTTCCCACCCGGCGGCGCGAGCGCAGGCACCGGCGCCCGAGCAGGACTGCAACCGCGCGCCCGCGCCCAGCACTCGGCAGTCCGCCTCTTTGAATGACACTGACTCGGACTGAGCCAGCTGAGGAACCCCTAGCTCGAGGGAGGAGGGAGGGGAGGGAGGGGAGCGCTAGCCGCTCCCGCGAGAGGCAGGTCGGCCAGCCAATCAAGAGCGGGTGCCCGCCTTCCCAGCCAGGGGGCTGGAATGGGGGCGTGGTCGCAGTCGGCGTGCCGCACCAATGGCACGGGAGGTGGGCGGAGCGACGAGGGCCACCGTCCTCCTCAGCATGCCAAGTTTCCAACTGAAAGGCGCGTGACTCTTGTGTATGCGAGGGGAGGAGGCGTGGCCATCCCGGACCCAAGAGCCAGTCAAAAATGAGCGCTGGAGGGAAAGGGGCGTGGTCTTCCTCCAGGCGGCCAATGAAAAGGATCGGTCCGCGGGTGCGGCGCTCCCTGTGGGGTCTCTGTAGTAGATCTCCGCGCGTGGCTTGGCAGCCCTGCAGTACTGCCCTGAGGCGCGAGGCGGCGGGTCCTCGCTGCGGGGCCTTGCGGGCTCCACGGGGCTCCGTGTCGGTGCAAAGGGCTGAGCCTCCTGCCCTGGGAGCATCAGAGCCTACTGGAGACGGCTTAGGGTGCGTGAAACCTACAATCAAATCGGGATACTGGGCAAGCCCCCAGCCCACTGCTCCTGCATATCGCTCCTTGGGAGATTCGAGGTGACAGGGTGGCCCTAGCAACGCGGTGGACCCGCTGTCTGCAGGCCTGAGTGCCCTCAGCTGCTCACGATCCCGTGGCGCCACCTGCCGGCCCTCACAGATGTCCTGCACTGTTTCCTAGACCTCAGCAATCTCCCCAAAGTGTGCCCAAGAGAAGCATGGGGAAGTTAGCGGGCGGCTTCCCAAACTTTAGTCATAGGAATTCTCATGCATTCGTGCTATAATCACAGAATGAGATGGGGCCTGTTTCTTGTTGTTGTTGTTGTTGTTGTTGTTGTTGTTGTTGTTTTTACGGGTACCCAGGCAATTTTGGAAAATAGGAAGGGGAGAAAGCTCATAAAAGCTGCTTTGGTTTTTGTTTTTCGAGACAGGGTTTCTCTGTGTAGCCCTGGCTATCCTGGAACTCACTTTGCAGATCAGGCTCAGAGATTCACCTGCCTCTGCCTCCCGAGTGCTGGAACTAAAGGCCTGCGCCACTACTTGTGTATTGGTGGAGATAGACTCTGGAGCATAGGTCACCAAGACCCTCGAGTCCAGTGTATCGAGAAGAGATGTGGTAGCAGAGTAGTTGCCAAATTGAACCTTTTGCCTCACAACTTAAGCATTTTTTAAAATGTTTCCCATTCTTACTTTGTATTCTGTAATCACAGTAGTATTTTCCACCCAATGCATTTTTTTATAATATGTAGACAATTAATTCCTGGGCTCATTTCAATGGCTCCTTACCAACCGCTCCTCTTTTATGCCTGTCCCCTTACCTTCCCCTGGGCTTGCATCTAGTGACTTGTCAAATGAGGGCCAGTCGCTCCCTTGTTTGAACACTCCCCCGAACCCTCACCCCCTGTGGAAAACGCCCAAGTACCCAGATCACCAACAAGGTGCCACAAGCTCTGCCCCCACCCCTACCTCTGCCCCGGCAGGCTTTCTCCTGGCTGTTTCTCAGTCACTGCAGGGGGATTCTCCCCAGGGCCTTTGTGCTTGCTGTCTGTTTCCTGTGGGTGGGACTCAACTTCTTCCAGATGCCAACATAGCCCCCTTTCAAGGCTTCGCTCAAAGGCCACCATACTCCGTCTTGCCTTTATTTTTCTCCAAAGCAAAGATCTCTTAGTGGTGCTATAGGTAAAGTATTCGTTTGGTTAAGAATCTGTCCTTTCTCAAGAACTGTATCTGCATTGTGCATAACTATATCACCACGGTCTAGGACAACCATAGTCACAACATCATGTGAAAGGGGTTAAATAAAGGAACTTTAATTATTTTAAATAAATATTCAACTCTACTCCTAGCCCCCTGATTTCTGACGTTTTTCTCCTACTTCCTACTTCCATATTGCTATATTGAAAAAGTTAGTTCAGATGAAGAAAATGATTCTTAGGTTTCTTATGTGTGGCATTTAAGCTGGTGGTGGTGGTGCACGCTTAGTCCCAGCAATAGGGGAGGGGGGTGGGGGTGGAGTGTCTCTGTGTTCGAGGCCAGCCTCGTCTACATAGTGAATTCCAGGACAACCAGGGCTACACAGAGAAACCCTGTCTCAAAAAACAAACAACAACCAAAGAAACAACGGGGGAAAAAAGAGTGGCATTATAGTTTATAAGTTGGGATTTGTAGGGATATTAAGGACAAACACAGTCCTTCTAAGCTAGCTGATTGAAAATGTGACCCCGAGTGTGTTCCGGGCTAAGAGAGAAGCGGTTAAAGGTTCTGGAATATTGAATGCACAGTTTGGAATGGGAGTGTAGAGAGAGGAGGAAGTACTTGCCAGACCTGCCGACATTTCCTGTGCATGCAGAGAAAGCAACAGCCAGCAAAGTATGGTCTTAGCAGCCTAGAAGCTAGTGAGAAGCTCAGGACTTGAGAAAAACAGACAAGGACCCGCCAAGCAGACACCACAAAACAAAACACTCTCCGATTCGCAGGGGGGATTGCTGAGTGATTTATGTCCTCCGTGATGGGCACAGGCTAGGAGCCCGTGTGAATACTCAAGACACAAAGAACAGTGTAGACACCCACGCCAGCAGCTTTTCCCTCTGTGAGAGCTGTCCTTCGGGTTTGGGGGCTTTCGAAGCTCAGTGATTTGCTTTTCCTTAGAGAAAAGCTACTGGGGTAGGTTTGTAGTAAGTAGCTCCAGTTGGGATAGGGGGTGTCCCGACCTGTCACTCTAGGGATAGAAGACAAGGTCAGTGACGTTATAGGGCATCTCTTCTGAAATTTGGAGGGAAAAACAACACCACAAACCCCTAACTTCTGACCACATTTTACCTCCATAAAAAAGCTACTGAAGGATTGAGATTCTTAAAGGGTGGCCACGAGTGTCCAACCCTTGCTTCATTTTGACTTTGTCTGACCTTGAATGAGTCATTCAAGCAAAGTCAAAACCTCCCTGCAAACACCTTCCCTAGCTAAACTTCCCTTCCCAGAATTCTTCACTAGAAAGTAAGGGAGAAGAATGACAGCTCAATTTTCTTCTGTGCAGAAGGAAAATTCCCAAGTCTGCAGGTTCGGGAACTGGTTCTGTTGCCAGACCCAAATGTCTCTCCAAGGTTGAGGCATGAGATTTTCTAAAAGATTGCAAAAAAAAAAAAAAAATGGTTCTCTATACATTTTGTCAACATAATGTCTAATTAATAGAGAATATTTTTGTTCTGAAGTTTGTGGGTTGTAAAAAGCATTCAAAGTTAATGCTCTCAATGGGATTTGGGGGTTGGGAGGTAGACCCCAAGGCCTTGAACAGCTACACTCCAGCCAAGAGTGACATTTGAATGCCACCGGAACACAAAGTCTTCAGAGGAAAACCAGCAACTAAGAAAACACTAGAATTACACGAACTTGCCCTGGAATCCAATCTGTTGGCCCAGAGGGATTTCTCAGAAGCAAAACTCTGCACTTGCTTAAAAACACAGGACCCTTTTAGGCAAAAATAAGAATTTTTCACGAGTTAATGAAAATACTCATTTAAAATAAAATCTGTGGCATACTTACTATCTCAAGAGGCTTTGCAGGCTTTTGCTTAGGTATTGGTGAAATTATTAAGGCCACTCCACGTAGTTAAAAGGGAGGTTTAGCTGGGCAGTGATGGCGCACGCCTTTAACACCAGCACTCGGGAGGCAGAGGCAGGCGGATCTCTGTGAGTTCGAGGCCAGCCTGGTCTATCAAATGAGTTCCAGGAAAGGTGCAAAGCTACACAGAGAAACCCTGTCTCGAAAAACCAAAAAAAAAAAAAAAAAAAAGAAAGAAAGAAAGAAAAAAGGGAGGTTTATTTAGTGGTGTAACTTATTTCTCTCTCTCTGGAGAACTCTGCTCGGTCTACCTCCAGCGTCCAGGGTCCAGGCACCAAGAGAGCCCGCACATCCGGATCTCGGGTCTTCAGGGTTCTCTCTTGGCCCCGCCTTGTAGGCATGACAGTTACCGAAGCCTCATTGGGGGTTGGAACTTCCAGATCAAGGTTGGAATGGCTACCCACTACACTTAGGACTTTCCCACTTCCCTCCTTCTTCTAGATGTTTTCTGGCCTTGTTACTGGTAAGAAAAAGGAAAATGTGGCTTTTTGGCATTTGTGAGGAAAGATCTCTCCTTTGAAAAGGATCTGACGTCTTTGTTAAAATCTGGTCCTCAGCTACCCAAAAGGAAGTGAGCATATGAGAAGCCTTATGCAGCCTTATGATGGCCCATCGCCTCTTCTTGCTCCGCCTCCTCCCTCCCTCTTCTTCCTCCTATCTCCCACTTCCTCTGGTCTGAGACATCTACAGTAAGGACTTGGCAGATGAACAGTACTCAACACTTTTTAAAATTACATTTCCAGGAGGTGGGGATGTAGCTCAATTGGTAGAGTGTTTTCCTAGTATCTATGAATCCCTAGGTTCAGTTCCCAGCACCCCAAAAAACCAGGCTTGACCTAACATTGGAAGATAGAGGCAGAAGTATCAGAAGTTCAAGGTCATCATCAGTTACGTAGCAAGGCCAGCCTGGGCTGCATCAAGAGTTTGTTCCCCAGCCCACATTTGGTGGGGTGAGGGTAGAGTAGGTAAGAGATAGGGTTGGAATGGACCAAAGAGCAAGCACCAGGCCTAACTGTATGACTCTGAGCCCTCCATGAGAACCACAGCTGCATGCCTCCGACAGCAGAGCAGGAACCAGTGTTTCTCTCAGGCTGGCTAAGTCCACTCCCACAGGCTTTGAGTCCCATTTTCTGAGGAGGAAGCCAAAACACATAGTCAGTCCACCACCTCTCCCCAGGCATAGACAAAAATGCTCACAAAATGCAAGTACAAAGTTCTGCTGCTCTCTCCAATTCCTCTAAAGCACCTGCACATTTTAACGATTACTAAGCTGCAGGTTTAACTTATTTCTTATCTCTCTCTC